TTTGGCTGAGCCTGGTGTCTTTGGCGGCTGCTGTTTTCTGTGGCTCAGTCAAAGCAGACACTTCCCTTGGCGAAGTTCCTGCGGCCTCTGGAGACTTTTGAGGACGTTTCTCTCCTCCTGCAGCCTTTAGTGTTTTTTCAGAAGAGTGGTGGCACCCTGACTTGTCACTGAAAAGTAGTGTGGGAAAAACAAATAAAACTACCCAAGGGATAAAGGAGGAAACCCCAAACACCTCCCGTAGACAATGAAAAACCTCGTCTTCACCTCAGTTGTGTGAAGCAAATGTTTCCATGCCAGTCAGAGCAGAAACTGTGAGGCGCTCTTCCTCTTTGATTTTTTTTTTTTTGGTCCTATTTTTAACATTCTTTGGCAAGTCTACACATCTTGGTTACATAAGAAAATCAAAATTAAGATGTTTCATATTTTAAAAGCATGCCTTGACTCAGGATGAGTTTTGCTGGCGCTGCCATGGAAGTGCGAATTCCTGATCTTAAATAATAAGCACACATGTCCAGTAAACAAAAACTATCTGGCGGCTTCTCTCGTGTCGCCATGGCAGCTCCCTAGCCTGTGCTCTCACCCCGGTGGACCGCTGCCTGGCTTGCTAACTGTGGCTGAAGGGAGGCGCCAGGCAACTGGCTGTAACCAGAAAGGTGCTGTTCCTCTTCCCGGTGCGGGGACAAGGTGGCTCACCCTCCTCTACAGTTCCTGAGGGGTGCTGATGGCCTACAGTGCTTCAGACCAGCGGCTGGCCTTCGCTTAGCATCTTGACGGAGCAACACTGAAATCCACGGGGTATGGTTGCCCTAGAGTGTGATCTGACATAGGGAAAAGGGAAGCCTCTGCTGTCTGCCTTTGAGGTGGACTAGAAGGAAGGACACTTATATTTTAGGAAGTTAAGTATTACATTAATGACAAGAATTTAAGTTAACATACTGAGAGTGCACCCAGTGGGTGCAAATGCTTTGTTGGGATGATGTTATCTCTGTCTTAAAGAGGAGCAAGGCGAAGGTTAATGATGGGATGTAATAAGCTCAGGCGCCAGCCGCTGTGGGAATCAAATCCCAGCATCCCCGTGCGCAAATCTCAGGCGCACAATTCAGCATCCAGTCTGTAGGATGCTGATGCTGCAGATGCAGAGGACAAGGAAGGACTGAGCTGTCCCCTCCGCGGGTGATAGAGCTGACGCACCAGCAGCGGGGAGACTGTACTTAGTTCTCAGCGCGGTTCAGGGTAGCCCTCCCGCTGTCCATGGACTTGGGCTGTCGATCTTTCTCCTGGAATTTCAGATCCTCACGTGACGTTTCCGTCTCACCTGTGTCTGAGTTTGGCCCAGGCCTGCTGTGTCAGCCCCCTGACTCAGAGTTCTTACATACTAGAAAGCATTCCAGTCAACCCATTCAGAGAGGGGAGGGGAGGACTTAGGAGGGCTGTATTTTAAACATGTACCTCAGGTGATCACCGTGTTTCTGAGGGGCTGGAGACAAGACCCAAGGAAACTTGTTTGTTGGCAGAAAACTGGTTCAGGATGAACAAGGGTTACGTATTTTTCAAGTCAGCAGCTACCACCTTCTACCCAAGTCCTCAGAGGCGGAGAAAAGTGAACGAGTGAAAGGAGAAATGGAGGCGGGGCTCGGGGAAAAGTACAATTCAAGAACAGAGTCAAAATGCAGATATTTACAGAGGAGCAAGGGTTAAGAATTAGCAATGAGAGGGTGACCTGGAACAAGGTCAGTTTGTGGAAGGGTCTGGAAAGGATGCATTGTCTACTCAGGAGGCAGGGTGTGGCTGAAGCTGCTTTGATGGACTGGGACTGATGGGTGGCAGGAGAGCTCTGATCATAGAGATGAACCACATATTGAGGCATTAGGTATGAGGAAAGAGAATGGTTTGAACTGTTGGGTGTAGAGGAGAGGCACACACGCAATGCTCAGGGCAAAGCAGCCAAGAACAGCTTCCTTAACCTGAGGTGAAGACAGGCCATTGGTAGGTGGCAGAAACTCCACAGGCCTTGGAGGCTGGTCAAGGACAGAGGAAAACGGGTGGACTACAGGGGCCTCATGGGTTATCTGGATGGCAAAGGCAAACCTCCTGGTTCTTGGAGGTATGTGAGTAAGGGTTGGGAGGGGCTGGACTCTGTGCTCCCATTGCTGAGAGGAGAATTTCTATGTTTTTAACATCACAGATGTCCTCTGCATGACTTCATCTGAGTGGAGGGGGAAAACGTTATGTTGCTTTAAATGGCTTAAAAAGCACCAGAGGTTAAGAAGAAATCTGTAAGTCAGTCAGTCAATCAGCCAGCCAGTAACTGCTTACCTTCTTAACTAACGACAAGCTACTCTGGGCAGTTTTGAAGGGTGTTACTCATCACCCTCCCCGTAAGTGCTTAAGAGGCTCACATGCAGAGTGAGAACACTGAAGGCTGAATTCTCAGCCCCAGGTCTGTCATAACTGCTGGCCTTTAAAAATTCACTTTCCTGGGCATTAGGTGGGCTTGGTTTTTTATTTTACATAAATTAAGTTGGATTGAATTAAGCAAGTTTTCAAGAGACCTTCCTGTTGCAAAAATCTTGTCAGTAACAATTCCTTGTCATGCTTTTGGGGGTTGGTATGAGGATCAGAGCTCGAGGGAGACCCGTATCAGGATGCTGGTTAGAGGCACAGACGTTGTGAGGCCAGGGAGGAGGCAGATGCAGCAGCGAGAGCCTGAGGGAGAGCAACAGTTCATACTGTGGAGTTCGCCATTACAGAAGTGACGGAGACAAACGGGCAGGCTCACCGCTAGACGCCGTTCACAACCCCACAGAAAGGTCTGTGCAAAGATCTACCCTAAGGGTTTGCTGGTGGTGGTGTTTTTGGGGTGTGTGTATGATGCATGGGGTTGGGGTGCACATGGACAGAGAGGCCCGAGGAGATCTCTCTCTCTCCTGCTCTACAACTCACAGGGCCTCTTTCTGAACCTGGAGGAGCTACCCCACCCCCCAACCCCGCCTTGCTTGTTGTTTTCTCTTCTTTTCCACTAGGCTAGTTGGCCACTGAGCCCCGGTGATGAGCTCTCTTGTCTCTACTCCCCAGAGATGAGGTTGCCGGTGTGTGTGGCCATATCTGGCTTTTACACAGGTTCGGGAGATCCAAACTAAGGTCCTCATGCTTGTACATGTTCTTAGCCACGGAGCCATCTCCCAGCCCTTGTCCTATATTTTTCAAGTCTTAGAGCTGTGCGCTTGTCCGGAGGGGTTGACTTCTTACCGGCTGTTGCAACATGAAGATATGTCAGCTGTTTACACTGACCTGGAAAACAGCATGTCCAGTGACCCTGCTGCTGACCTTTGCAAGAGGTCTCTGTTTTCTGAAAGGGTTTCTTTTGTAGATTGTGAATCATGAGTATGGGAGCATGGTTCTTCTCTTGGTGGGAGAGAGAACTGTTTATCTGCCTGGTACTTGATCAGCGATTGTTTAGATAAATGGTTTAACCACAAAGGGCTCCTGAGTTCTATTTTGCTGTCCTGTGTAAAGTACTTGTGGCGGAGTTATCTAAGGAGTGACTGGCCGCAGGAAGTGGAGCGCATAGTGGAATGTGAAGTCATGAGTGAGCGAGCGGACCAGATGCTGAGGGTGGGTGGATACGTGCAGTGGACCAGATGCTGCCGGCCACAAACGAGCAGCATGCACCGGTCATCTCTTCCTCTTTCTCTGCCTCTGTCCTCCTACTTCTTCATGATGACTGGAGCTGAGAAAGAGAATTCTGAGAAAACTGAGGCAAAGCAAAAGAGCTGCTTTACCTGGAGGGCTGGAAGGTTTTCCCAGTCCCTGTGGAGAACACTTCCCTTCTGGTATCAGGTTGCTGGACAGAGGTCACATAACTAGAGCCTGGGCCTGTGAGACCTGGAGCTGACTCACAAATGAGATGTACTCTGCTCTGGGTAATTCCCGTCCAGAGTGCTGGCAGCTGGGCAGCCTCTGGAATAAATACACCCTGTGACCAGGTCGTCTCTCAACAAAGAAAACTCATGAGAAAACTGTGCTTCCTATCGTGTGGCGACCGAGCTTCCACAGACGAGGAAGTTAAGATGTAAAGTCCTCCCTGAGTTTTGCCACAGGTCTCTGCTGAAAAACAGCTAACTTGGTGTGGACAAGCCAGTCTGCACAGCTTCACACCGAGTCTCCAGGGCCCCCAATAAACAAAGAAATGCTTTCTACCTGGCTTCGAGGACGTTGATAAGAAAAGCAGATGTTAAATTAAACTACAGAACAACAAAAGGAGACCTTCCCAGTCTTATAAAACTAACCACCACCACCACCACCACCAATTAAAAAAACCCCAAAATACCCTTTTGTGGGGGCACAACAAGGACTATGTAGCCCAGACTGCCTTTGAACTCTCAATCATGCTGCCTCAGCCACCTCAGGGCTTGGATTACAGATGTGCACCAACACACTTGACCTCAACTTTGTTATAGAAATGCAGTGCCATAGTTAGCGTTAGTTTCCAGTTTGACACACCTGCAAAGAAGGAGCCTCCACTGAGGAGCTGCCTCCGTCAGATCGGTCTGTGGGTCATTTCCTTAACTGCCAGTCACTATAGGTGGCGCCAACCCTGGGCTGGTGGTCCTGGATTATATAAGGAAGGGTAACTGTGCAAGCCACAGGAAGCAAGCCAGGGAGCAGCGTTCCTCAGCTGTCTGCTTCCGTTCCTGCCTCAGAGTTCCTCCCTTAGCTTCCTCCCATGACGGACTGTAACCTGTAAGCCAAAGAAACCCTTTCTTGGTCATGGTTGGCCATGTTTATCACAGCAACAGAGACTAAAGAAGTCAAGTGGAAAATACAGCCCCAGATCTGTAGCTGACAGGCCTGTGAACCCAAAGCCCAAATGTACCTGTATTTCTCCTTGCAGTGGTAGAGAAAGTGGCCTCTTCCATTCAAGTGGGGAATTGGGCAGCAAGAAATAGCCTACTTCCTGAAGGTAGACACTTCTCAAGAGGAAGAAAAGTAAGGCTGAGTCAGCTGAGCATACCTCGTTTATTATTCTCATACTTAGCAACTAAATAGTGTCTTCTTCTCCCCTGAGGTAACTCTAGGACGGGGTAGTCTAGTAGTCGGCTTTTAGGGGAAATTCTTCATAAAAACCTCAAGTGAGCAAATGATGCTGCCCCACAGCACAGTCCAAGACTTGGTACATTGAAGGCCGAGATGTTGAAGTCTCACAGGGGTTAAGTCAAAGAACAGACCAGATGATGTCTGGGGCTCCTACATGTCTTGAAGCTTGAGACCTGGTAATGTGAGACATCTGGGTCAATATATTTAATACTTGTCGCTTGCCTGCCTTTACTCACCTTGCCTCCTCTGTCCCCCAGACACACCGTGATACGGGTGTCGGTACCTCATGTAACCAAGCGAGTAACTAGTCCACAGACAGAGCATGGATGCAAGCCCACATCTCTGCGGCTCTGAAATTGGGGTTGGTGCCCCCCATCCCCTCCCCTTTGTGATTGTTATAGGGTTGGCAGTTATATGCAGGACTCCATTTTCTTCCTTGTCTTACTTGTTTTGGACCTGTTCAGGAGGCTAGAGCAGATAGCCCATGAATTATTTGTGTCCCCTTTCACTCAGGCTTATCTGCTTCCTACCTGTTTGATCTAGGAGAGTGCAGAGCTGGCCACTGTCTCTTGTCTCCTGTTTCTAAGGCTGTGGCCCTTTCCTCCAGCACAGTCCCCTTTCCGATAACACGGAAACTTCGTAAACAGTGTAGGGAGTTGTCCCTGCTAGAACAGGAGATTGCAGCTGGGTTGTGCTGAACAGTTATGTACAATGCACATCATTTTAAAGTTTTCTGTGTGAAAAGGTTAAACTCTGAAGTGTTTTTGGAGGATTAGTGGGAGGACATGACATGTATAATTTGCTCTGCTATACCCAAATTCAAGAGACAAACCATGTGCACTCGATTTTATTATAGACAAAATGTATGGAAATGCCCTCACAATGAGAGCATAAATATATATATATTTTAATGTATGTGCATATCTGTATGCCCATGAGTTTATGTGTACCACAAGTACCAGAGCTGGCCAGAGGGTGCCAGATTCCTCTGGAGCTGGAGTGACAGGTGGTTGTGAGCTACCTGCTGCTTTGGGTGTTAGGAACTGAACGTAGGTTCTCTGCAAGAGTAGTATATGCTCTTAACTAAACCACATCTCTAGTCTCATAAAAGTATTTGAAACATTAAAGAATATTGAGGTTATATTGCTCAGATTAATACTCTTTGCTTTGTTCTGATAATTAAAAGCCCACCCAAATCAAGTGAGAAGGAATCATGTGATTCCTTTCTTTGATCCTCTCCAGGGTCCCCATGGCCTCCCTGCCGTTCCTGGAACACACCTGCATGGCACCAAAGCACCTTTTGTGACACATATCACTCCAGAGTGTTGGGTCTAATACCCTTTAATACCAGTCACTGTGCCAACCATAAGCCGTTTTCCATGCATTTAAGTTTCCACAGACAGTAGCTCTTAATTTTCACAATACCTTGAAAGATAAAGACCATTGTCTTTAAGGAAGGCAGGACAGAGGCTTATAAAGACACCTCATCCAGAGATGTAGCCAGCTGACTCAGGACCAATAATGTTCAGGACTCCAGCTCCCTCTGTGCATCCTAGGACACCATGCAGGGCTCCACCTGCTTCTGCCTGCTCATCCAGACACCTCTGCTCTCTTTGTTTTGGAACCATTCACTGGCTTGTGGGGCAAAGACCTGTGGCTTTCTATTGTTGTTTCTACAGTGTCTCGGTAGGTGGCCCTGGCTGGCCGGGAACTATATAGAACAGGAAGTGTATTCACAGAGGTCACTCACTGTCTCTACCTCCAAGGGCTAGAATTAAAAGTCTATCACTACACCTGGATTGTGCAACAGAGTTTGTATATTATGTCTTTCCATTTTTTAAAGTATAAAACAGGACTAATAATAAGACCTGTGCATTGGATTGTGACTATTAATAAATCAGTAAGTCCTCAATCAATGCTGGCTGACCCTTCTACTCACTGATATGGTAGAATAGAATTTTCAGATCCTAAAATAGACCCCTAGGTCTGTTTGAGTCTGTAAGAACCAGACTTTGATTTAAAATGTGCATCATGATGTGAATCAAATGATAACAGTAACCACTTTTTAAAAGTACCTGTTATGTGCTAAATCCACTACCAGGAATGTTAAACCTTTTGATACAGTGATACATCATTGTTACTCCTAAGGGTGCCAGAATGCGTGTATTAGGTGGACCACAGGTTGGGCACACAGTGAACACACCTTGTGGAAGTCTCCCACCAACCTGCAGAAGCTGTGGCTTTGACCTCTTTGAACCCTGTTTGAAACTCTGCCTGGGGATGCTCTCAGTTTAACCCTCCCCTGCCCTTTCCAGCTGAACATTGTGTTCTCTTGAAAATGAGAACTGCTTTTTCCAATTTCCAGTCTTCCCGCCCACTGTGGCTTCTCTACCCCGCTTCAAAGATCTCTTGCAGTGGTTCCAGATGTCACACATCAACTCCCCTCAAGCCAGGAATAAAACTTTTCCAGCCTCTGAGACTCAAATTCACTTAGGATGGCTAAGGGTACAGACGCCCGTTGACAGTTACAGGAACTGGCTTTCTTAAGTCTGAACGTTTTTGCTTTAAAGTAATACTTCTCCAAGAAACATCTGTCATTCCTTGTTTCAAAGACAAAGAGAGAAATGATAGTTGACAATGAGCTCCACCTCATCTGTAGGAGGTTCTGAATTGTCACGCTACTCGCTAAATACCTCTAATTTAAAATGTAAAAATGCTTACATATTTTTGCCTACCTTAATTTTTTATTTCAGCCATTATATTACCTTTATCTTTCATGCCATAGTCATCTGTTTTCCTCCCACCTTGCCTAACGTAGATACCGTGTCTTAAAAATCACGTTTTTTTAAATCCACAAAATGAGTATTTTCCTGAGAACTGAAAGATGTGGAAATAATATATAACAGGCTTTACCAACTTGAAACTTTTGTCTTTTTCTCTTTTCTTCAAAATGATAATAAAATCATTAGGGCCAGGAGAGGTGGTTCAGCAGTTAGGAGCACTGGCTGCTCTTCCAGGGGTCCTGACTTCAATTCCCAGCACCCACATGTGGGCTCACAACCATCTACAACTGCAGACTCATGGGATCTGATGCCATCTTCTGGTGTGCAGACAAAGGATAAAAAAGGCAGCACTCCTATGCATTAGACAAACAAACAAATAAAAAACCTGTGCTGGGCATAGTGGTGAACTCCTTTAATCCTAGAACTTGGGAGGTAGAGGCAGGTGGATCTCTGAGTTCAAGACCAGTCAGAGCTACAGAGTGAGATCCTGTCTCAAAAACAAAATAAAAAAAAAATACAAACATAAAAATAAAATAAAATCATCAGATAATCTTTTATAAAATCTAATTGGCCAACTGAGCTTCTGCTGTGATTTTCCTTCACTACTCATTCTTAAAACTGGGATAAGTTGGATCAAGCCAACCAAAGGTTCCCCATCTTCCTCATTTCTGGGAATCCCAACCACGCCACACTGCCACCCACAAGGCCTTTATTTAAGAAAACATGTAGATAAAATTCTGTCTTCCTTCTGTGGACTATGATTTGTAGTGTGTTGAACCTCTTCTTATATCTCACTCCTTCTCTTTCCAGCACTGGATCCTCTTCTGAACAGTGCTGTTTCTAAGTCTGGGGAATGGTGAATCATTTGGATCATTATGGGTGGGTTGTTTCTAAGCCACCTGCCCTGCATGGATCCACTCCATCGAGGCTGGCATGGGATGCTTTCATTTGTGAGATACTCGACTTTTAATGCTAGAATATCTGTACTGGTGGCTAAATGAATAAACAGATGAAATATCAAGGAGTATGAATGGCCATTGATGAGCTAAGGATGACGGGCAGTGAGAGTCATGGGACAGGTTTATACAAAAAGGCTGCACCCGCTCTTACTGATTTCGCCTGTGTTTAGAAGCGCTGGTTTCTAAAGTCACGCGTGTCTTTGAAGATCACAGCGAGGCAGCACTGTTTCTCTCACCCAATCTAAAAACATGCTCGGATGATGCAGCTCCGAGCTGAGAAGGTGTGCTGGGAGTGGGGATGCAGGTAGCGAAGCTCCTTCTCAAGCAGGAATGCCCAATTTGTTGGTGTTGTGTGCTGGTACAGGAGCGCATGATACATAATAGTTGGTAGGAAGGAATCAGCTGGCACATCCTTTGGAGGCGCCTCTGAACAGCAGATGGCATCAATTTTATTTATAAATGCACAGGGCGTGGTTCAGGAAATAAGAATACTTGCTGTGCAGGTATAAGGACCTGAGTTCAAGTCCCTGGAACTCTTTGTGGTGGTATGGATGAGAATGGCCCCCATCAGATCATATATTTGAATACTTGGTCCCCTTTTGGTAGAATTGTATGAGACATGAGACAATGTAGAATTTGGTAGAGACGGTATGGCCTTGTTGGAGCAGGTTTGTCGCTGAGGGGCAGGCCTTTGAGTTTCAAAAACACTTTTGCTATCTCTCCCCTACTCC